GTTATAAACAACTCGCTACAAAGTGAATGGAATTTGTTTGTTATTATTCCTGTACCCAAAGTCACAAATACAACTATGTGTCAAGAATATAGGCCAATAAATACAGTTACAGCTTACGAAAAAGCAATAGAAACAGTAGTGAAAGAACAACTATTGAATTATTGTAATAAAAATTCAATAATATTGCCGTACCAATCTGGTTTTCGTAAGGGTCACCTCGTGAAGTAATTCTAAAATATGACTGGTTAAAGCTATTAACATTAGTTGTAGCAGTATTTTTGGATTTTCGTAGGGCGTTTGAAACTGTTGGTCGTGAGGTTGTTAAAAAATGGAAAATGTGATAATTGTTAAAGTGGTTTCGATATTTAATATCACAAAAATAAAATTTACGAACCAAAAATGAGACCTACCTCAAGGTACAGTCCTGGACCAATTGTTCATTCTGACGTAAGATATAAAATTTAAACAAATGTAATACTAAAATGTTTACACGCCTGTACATTAGGAAAAAATGTTGTAGATTTAATACGATAACAAAACTATGCAATTATAATGGTTGTGTGATTTCTTTATAAATGTGAAAAATGTAAATTTTTAATACTTAAAATTAATAATATTGTGAAATTATAATATAAAAATTAATAAATCTACATGTGAAAATCTAGGAGTTGTAATTGTGAGAACTTAAACTGAAAAAACATGCAAACTATTATGACAAAATGTCAAAAAAAGTATCTTTCTTAAGTAGAGTTGTGAAACTCACTCTCAATATATACTAAAATATTAATAGCTATAAATCAATTATTGACACCGCATAGCAGATTTTTGTTCTTCGATAATATTTAACTTAAATCAAAATCAAACTCAACAACTCCAAATGATCCAAAAATAGAGCAATGAGAATTATTTTCAAATGCAATAGATACACACCAATCAAAAATGCTAGAGCTAGAGGTGTTAAATTTAATGAATATAAAACAAAGAATTGTATAAGAACATTGTATAGTCATTTATAAAATAAAAAACAAAATGTTACCACCGGATTTATATCATGAAAAAAAAATTAATTTTCACGATAATGAAGTTAGTTGATATGCTTTATATGTCGGAAGAATGCAATAAAAATTATTTATTAGCATCTAGAATGTACGCTGCTACATATCCAGATAGAAGACACCCACAAATGAGTGCTTTTGAAAGATTAAAAATTAGATTTCAAGCAACATTAAGTATTAAATATAAAAAGTATTGAAGAACTCATGAGGTTAGTAGAGAGGAAAATCAGTTTGTAATTTGCACTTCCATTGTAGAAAATCCAAATGTAAGTGTGAGGCAGTTCAGTGACCAACTAGATATTTCAAAGAGTGTGATAAAGAACGCAATAAAGAAAAAAATTTCCATCCCTATCATATACTACGCCACCAGAAGTTATCAAACCTTGATTTTGAGAATAGACTATGATTCTGTGATTGTGCACGAATAGAATTAATAAAGATCCTCTGTTTTTTAACTTCGTTTTATTTAGTGGCGAATCTACATTTTACGAGTGCGGCCGATTTAATAGTCATAATCGGGCCATATTTCTTTAAAAGACATCTAACAGGTTGGAAATACTTAAATCTCTTGCGAACTGAATTAGATGCCCTATTACTAAATATACCACTAAATATAATAGCTAGACTATGGTTTTAACATGGTGCACCAGCGCTTTATAGCGCTGAGGTAAGAGAGTACCTAAATGAAGGTTTCCCAGAACGCTGGATTGGTCGAGGTGATCCAGTGACTTGGCCTCCAAGAATGCCCGATCTTAAAAGTTCAGATTTTTTTCTGTGGGGTACTATTAAAAACATAATTTATCAAGAAGAACCCAGAGACGTCAATGATTTGAAAATTAAAATAACAAATGCATTCGATATAATTACTCCCCAAATGTTAATGAATGTCACTAGATCCTTCCACAATAGATTTAATTTGTGCGCAAATGAAACAGCAACACATTGAACATTTGTTACAATAATATTTTAAGTTAATTGTTACCATTTTGTTATTTGTCGATTAAAGTTAGTTCATTTTAATTAAATTGGTTTTATTGTATTTTCTCAGATATGCAATGTACATGTTTCAATTAATACATACTTATTTAAAAAAATTTCTAATTAAAAAAAATTAGTAAATTCTCCCTCTTCTTGATTTGGTGAAATATTATTGTTTAGAGAAATATCATTATTTGTCTAGAGCAACAAATCAGCGAACTCTAAATACTTATTAATTATTATACGGTAATGTATTTATTCATAGATTGCCATTGGATCAATTTTATAAAAAGAACATCAAACTATTGACCTCTTTATTTATTGGTTATTTAACATTTGTATAAAATGTGTCAAAATAGGGCACTTATATAGTTTGTTTCTCAAAATTTGGACATAAATGATCATATCCTTAACACCATTGAAAATAAATAATATGAAGTATGGTAGGTCATCTGAAAGCTCTTGAAATTCTCTAATCGAGTATGAAACATACAGGGTGTTCTATTTCAAGTATCAAAGTTATTCAAGTTTATAAATCTCCAAGTTTGACACAAAATTATGAACATCCCGTAGAAAGAAATCTAAAACCGGATACATGGTTTGAAAGCACTTTTCTATTGCAATTCATTGGCGTATCGAAAAATTTGAAAATATTTTAAATTAGACGAATACAACGTCTCTTGTAATGGTGTACATACGTCAAAATTTCTACATAATTTCAAATAATTCCTGACCTACTCAAATAAAGTACATGTCATGGTAGTTCATTGGAAAACTCTTGACGTTCACTAACGAAATATGCAATAATATACAGGATGTTTTATTTGACTACTACAACTAACAAAGTTGATTACTACCCAGCCAAAATGAAATACCCTGTATAACAAATTATTTTTAGAGTATGCAATGATGAATGCTGAGGAACTTTTTGTGTTAACTTTTTTTCTATTTGTAATAGTTACAGAGTTATGGAACAAATAATCACTAGGGGGACACCCTGTATATTATCACGGCTTGAAATTAAAATCGTCTCTTCTTCGTGGTATTATTGTCTGCAACCAGTAGCAACGAGACAAGCATTAACAAAAAAAGAAAATAAATAACAAATTATCTATTGTAATAAGTCCTTATGGATAAAGAAAATATAATATTAATTAATTTGTTCACCGAAAATAAATTAAAACCTTTCTAAAATACAAAATAATTAACATATCAAATAACTATATACAAGATGTTCGGCCGAAACAAGCATTTTATTTCATTTTGTAAGGAAATATTTTTTTATAGACCACCGGAAGATTCCAATTTCCACGTTTCGAATTTATATTTCCACATTAATTTTTATTTAATTTTTAATAAAAAATACGATCTTTACAAGAAATAAGGTTTTCACTATGAATTAAATAAAAAATTGCAGTTAGTCTCCGCTGTATGGCTTGATAAAGCTTCTTATTATTCTTCTTTTTCCCATCACACATGTAGTTTTTAATTCTTGATTTTAACATTGTCTAGCCTGGCCTATATATAAACTTTACCACTTTATATTATATAACAAGTATTTTTTTAACGGTATCCAGTTACTCACAAAGTGATTAACTAAAGCCAAAATTAATGTCATTTTCGTATTTTAAGTTCCAGTTTTGGACAAAATGATTTTCATATTAAATTTTATTGAGTTGTAACGGTGTCTGTTCGGACGCTTAAAATATGTAAGAAAGTATGTTGTGGCGTCGAAATATGTAACGGTGATTGTTTTCGGATAGCTGGTTTGGAGAATTAATCCTGTTAGTTGTAAATAAGAAAGCCCAGTATACGTAACAGAGTTTATTTCATAAAAGCAACATTTGTTCAAAACATGAAGTTAAATAAACATAAAATCAGATTGTCTAACAATTAAACCAAGTCAAGTACAGTTCATAAATATTATATGCATCGGTGTAATTAATTTACGGAGAGGAGTGTAATTTCGGTGATTAAACGGTACGACGCGTAGGCATAAGCTCCTCGTGCTAACGCATGATGGAGACATCCAGGACTCGTTGCAACGGTAGTTCGATAATTATTTAACGGTGGCAGGTCCAGCTCAACAAGCTGAAGACTCACGGCAATAAATAATTAGGGACTGGTTACGGCGGTTGGTTTAGCAATTATTTACTAACGCGCGGGTCCAGCTCACAGCGCTGAAGAGTCACGGCAATGAATAATTATTAGACTGGTAACGGCGCGGCGGTGCAGGACGGTAAATTGGCTACCAACGCCAGGAGGTCTAGGTCAGCATACTAAATACCACAAGATGCTACCAAACATTTGGCCGGGCGACGTCGTCGTCGGATTCTGAATTCTAATCAAATGGAGTCATGCTCAACGCGCTTAAGACTCCTCACCGACCTAGCTCAACGCGCTGAAGATGGTTATCAGTATAAAACTGAATTCATTTCTTTGGCTACGGCGATTCTATTTATACCAAAATTATGGCCTTGGTGAAGTCTTATATTTGATGGTGGCAGGAAGTACGTGGCAGCATATGCCAAACAGTAATTGCAGAAACTTCTAGGAATGAACATCTGCATGATTCATCACATGGCGGCAGAAAGTGCGCAGTAGCACAAGACTAACGGGAATTTCCGAAACTATAGTAATGAACATATGCATGATTCATTAGAGAGTTCTAAATGAAGTTATATGGGCTTTCCATTATTTCTTCTACAGATAACTGCAAAAGTGTTCGGGAAAACGTGTAATCCAGAAGAGGCTGTGTATTTAAATCAAACATGTTTTGGTATAATGTGTATAATATGCCTCTTTTCTATTTTTTTTTAAATTAAGCACCACAGATAATACAACCCTCTGTATCCCTGAGGGTACCTCAAGGTACCTCGTGTGGGAGAGGGCTGCACATTTAGAGACAATGGACGTACACCCAATGTCCGAGTATGCTAGGATTAATTTCTGTTTTAGAAAAATTCCTAACCCCTCGACCGGGGATCGAATCCGGGACCCAAGGATGGGAGACAAGTGTCCTTACCACTCGACCACGAAGTCACTAAAGAAAAACTTTTTCTGAACACTGAATAAATAAAATATTTACAATTTTTTTTTCGGATTTTTTTTTGTATTTATGTGCTTACAGTCGTACGCTTGTGCGTTGTCGCTGTAAAATAAAACGAAATATAAGAAATTATTAAAATTAAAAATAATTAGGCCACAAGTTAGGAGCGTCAACGAATGTTGAAAAATTCTACCAACGCACGCACAGACATAAAATTCCATTTTGTTGTATATCAAACGACCTTCGTACTATTTAATGTAGGAAATAATATGGATTCATCTTTTCGGTACGTAATTCTTATATAATACATTATTTCAATAAGACATATAGTGTCGGACTTTATGAGTAACAAGTAACATTTTTATAAAGATTTTACGTTCTTAAGCGACGATAATAAGTTTGTTATGCTTTTACGACTACTATGACCTAATTGCTACTTCGTACAGTATGCATAATCAGTGTCATTATTATATAAGAGATTTTATAAAATATAAAATCCACTACATCAATTAGACAAGATCCAAATATTAAAACAGAAGCTGCGAGGAAGAGGGAAAAAGACATACACACAGGCATTTCCTCCAAAAACTTTCGCTTCGCAACTGTGCTACTCTGCCCGGTACGCTCCATATTTTAATTTATGCTTTATGCCACTATAAATAAAACCGTCTTCTAATTGTTATTTTTCCATTGAATTCTGATAAAATTTTGAGCCAGGCAACTTGCTCCCTCCCCGAGTTACTTTTTCATCACAGTTTCACTGGCATACAATTTTTACATCGCGCATAGCCCAACACAATTAGTTTTACGTAGTAAATAGTAGCTCCCCATTTCACATTAAGTTTTCGAAACTCTGACACTAATAGCCTATAACGGTTTGACACATTAAATCCTAAAGCTGACACATTTACAAGGGTGGTAATAAAAAGGGCCAACATTTATTTTCAGCCCTCTCAGGGGCTGGCGTTACCCCCCCCCTCGAAATGACTGGCTGTTATCCGCTAAAGTATCGATTCCTTAATATCAACAGTCTAGTACTAGGTGTGCAATCTGTTCCTACATTTTAAACAAATGGGACCTAATCTGTTTATCTGTGCCAGAGTTTAAAACTCTTGAAGTAAAATGGGGGCTAGCGTTAATCTGGCCCTACAAATATAACCCTTATTTATTTCTTACTTATTTACTTCCTACGTAACGGTATACTAAACTTAAAACTAATTGTGTTATAGGTTGTGCTCGATAAAAAATTGCATGCCAGCAGAACTGGAATAGAAATAGTAACTGGGGGGGCAAATTAACTAAATAAATAAATAAATAAATTTGTTCAGGTAAATAGGTTTTACCATTTATAAATTGCAATTCATTCAACTCATAAATTTTTCTAAGGGTGTCATCCAAGTAAGATAACCTGTGTTGTGAATCTCACCCAATAGTAAAAAATATCATTGATAAAATCAGCATGGAGCAAATAATATTTTTATAAAGATTTAAGTTCTTAAAAATACTGTTAAACAAAACAAAAATAGAAACTAGGGTAAATAATGGAACATAGAGGACAGAGAAACGTTGTGAAGACAATGTAGAATATAGGAAGCGCAATAAATAAATTAACATCAGCTAGCAGGCAGGTTAAGATGTTAAAAGAGTAAATATAGTATAATAACTTACATAATCAGAAACTTCACTATATATGCGCATACAAGATCATACTACAATATACTTATTAAAACATATACACAGCTTTTCATATATAAATATCTACAATATTCAAGTTAAGTCTATTAACATTTTCACTTACAAAACTCTTTAATTGCTTTTTAAATTTATTTTTATTTGATATATTTTTTTAAGTTACCGGCAGCATATAACTTGGGTCTAAAATAGAAGAAAAATCTTTGGGTATGTGATTTGTACATAAAGGTACACCAACTGTCTGATTTACCGCTATTCTTATTCTATAACGGTGGGATATAAAAGGCATAGATATTTTGTAAATCCATAGCAAACATTGGTAAATATATAGTTGTTTTATAGTAAAAATGCCAGATTCCTTGTACAGAAGACCAGTGGAGGAGGTCCTTTCTTTCTTAATCATTATTTTAATTAATGTTTTTTGTAGTACACTCAGGTTATTTAACGATGTATTATATAATTCACCTCATACAATAATACACTATCTCATTACAGATTCGGTGAAAGCGTAGTACACCATAATCATGTTTCTCTGTTAAGAATATTACTTAACTGATAAAATTAAAAAATTCTGAGTTTACGTGTAAGATATTCTATATGACCAGTCCATCGTAGATATTGGTCTACTACAATACAAAGATATTTAATTTTTTTTATCCTCTCAACTTTAGGGCAAGCGCAATCTATATTATTTTCACATAGTCAATCATGAATTGTAATATGGTTTTTTTGAGGTTGATCTTTGACGACGAAAAATGTTACAATTTTTGTTTTGCTAAAGTTTAAACTCGGTTTCTGCATTTTCATATACTGTACTCCAGGAATCACCTACAAATACTATAGCTGTGTCATCAGCGTACGAAACTATACGACCTTTTGCATTTTTTTATAGCGATATGTTATTAATGTACACTAAAAACAAAATGGGTCTCAATACCTTCCCTTGCGGGGACGCCCATGTTAACTATCAATGGATCACTAAAACTTTCATTAATTTTTACTTTTTGTGCTCTGTTGGTTAAATAATCCTGAGTAAAGTTAATGGAGAACCTCGCACTCCTATTTTCTCTAATCTGTTTAACAGTATCTTATGTGTCGAACGCATTAACCATATCTAGAAACACCATTAAGCATTTCTTGTTGTTGTTTAGACCACTTACAATATTATTAATTACCTCCACCACAGCATCTTCTGTTAACATATGTTCCCTAAATCCGTATTGGTTTTTTGTTAATAAATTGTTTCTTTTTTCTAGAAAACTTCGACATTCTTTTTTATAGCATTTTCAAAAATTTTTGCAAAATTATTTATCAAAGATATTGGTCTATAATTTGTAACTAATTTTTTATCGTCTGTCTTATATATTGGTGTAGTTATTGATCCTTTCCATAGTTTAGGTATAAAGCCTTTAATAAAACATACATTTTTGATGTGTATTAGTGGACTAATTATATGCTCATGAATATTTTTTATTGTAGTCGCAAATATTCCATCAGGACCTGGCCAAGCGTTGTTTTTCAAGCTAGATATTGTTATAACTAAATCTTTTTTTTGAACAGGATCAAGAAATAACGAGGTGTTAATAATGGGATCATCTGAATCAGGCTCCCATGTTGGTTTGGTAATTGATTGTACCATCTCGTTTCCGATGTTAAAAAAATTGTTAAAATGGTCTGCTTTTTCTTTGTCATTTACGATTTGTATACCGTTTTCATCAACTATGTTAATATGACTATTGTTTTGTTTAGTTCTATCGTTCTTTATCATTTCATTAAATCTGTGCCAAATTTTTTATAATTTTTGACTGAGATTTTGATTGATTTATACGTTTTGAACCATCCTGAATCCATTCTGACTATTTTCCGAATGATGTCTGTCGGTGCGTGCGTGGGTGCGTGTGTGTGCATGCGCGTGGGCGTGCGAGTGCGTGTTTGCGTGGGCGTGCCAGTGCGTGTGCGAGTGCGCGTGCGCGTGCGTGTGCGTGTGTGAGTGTGTGCGCGTGCATGTGCGTGTGTGTGCGTGTATGTGTGTGGTGGATAACTCAAAATTTGGTGAATGTGGTACCATCAGAAGAGACACAATGAATGAATGAAGAAAAAAGGTACAATTTCGGGAAAATAAACTAAAAAATTTTATTGTATTTCTGGACGAATCTCGACGAACTATGATTAGAAAACATAACCTGATGGAAAAAATATGTCTGCATGTCTGTAGTACCGCGATAACAACCGCAGTTTTTGAGGTAAAGCTTTCAAATTTGCTACACATGTTCTAAAGGCCAAAGACAATGATAAATTTGATGAGCAAAATTGGCCAGCTGAAAGGAGGTCCACGGGACCCAAACTGTTATGTATTTGCCTTTACAAAAAATATATTCTTGATGAAAGATTATAAATCATGTCTACTATAACAAGCCAATAAAATAAAGCTGAGGTAAACTTTTATACATTTGACCTCATAAAATTGGGTTAGGATAAATTTAACAGTTTGACATTTGAAAAGTCTAATTTAGTTACAAAAATGTCAATATCAATAAAAAGAAATTATTAAAATATATGACAAATTATTATTGACAGTATTGAATGACGCTGGTAATTAATTATTTCAAAATTTTAATGAAACATTTCAAGGTACGTTATTAAACTTTAATTAAGGTAAGTGAAGAATTAAACGGAATGATTTTTTTACATCAGGATGATATATACTGGTATAAGAAAGTTATGTGCTGACCACATCAGTTATTTTATAGTTATTTTCAAGTTCAATAGAATGTGTTTTATTTAACTTCTTTTTTAAAAAATCTCTATGCCTAATTGAATTTACTACTAAACTTTGTGTTATCTATGGCTAATTTTGTTGTTTTGTTATTTACAGTTTTGTAATTTTTTGTGTTTGAATCAATGTAATTGAGTAATTTAACAATAAATAAATCATGTGCCCTTTCTGGATTTTTTATTTGTATTACATCATGCTAGTTTTCAAATGATAGCATGTTATTTAAGCCATTATAGTTAATGGTTTTACATAGTTTTGATGTTATTAATGTGCTGTTTAATTAAACGTTATCTTCATTATTTATCGATAAAGATGTCATATAATTATCTGTCAAGTAAATTTCATATATATAAGTATTAAGGGATACATCTTTTAATAAGTTTTTATAGTTTACTCTTATAAATGTATGATCAATTAGCGTAGTGCTACCTTTTGGTTACTGTAATAGGTTTATTTATATACGAAAATAATCGTAAATATGCAAACATACAAATATAGGAATTTACATCAGTATCAAATGCATTT